TCAATTTATAAGGAGATGGAATAGTTATTATAAAACATTGTAGTATTACTAATGCATATAATTCATTAATATCTAAAATAAAAAATGATGGTGCCTTTAGAATTAATGGAGAAGATAGCTTATTATCACTTAATTTAGAAAATATTACTTTTATAAATGTTTAAAATAAATTATCTTCATCCCTATTTTCAATATATTCATCTTCTACATAAAATAATATTTAAATAAAAAATATAATTGCATAAGATTGCTTTTCATTAGTTCATTAAGTGATAAATTTTGAAGCTGATTTTTAAAATGCTGACTAAAATAAAGTGAAAATTGAAAATTTTAGAATAATTTAAAATGAAAAAGCTTTAATGATATTTCTTTAAAGTCTTGGGAAAATCACTTTAATTGAAATGCAAAAAGTTATAAGCGATAATGCAATCATGAAATTTAAAGGATGTGAATTGTTTTTATATGGAATATAAATAGAAGGAATAATTTTATCTTCAATTATAACAGTTTAAGATTCAAAATTAATTACATTAATTAATTCTAAATTTATTGATATCTTAACATATTATCCCTTAAATTTGATAGAGATTTAATAAAGCAATATTTTTTCATCATTTATATATTTTAAAGATATCAAAATAACAAATTACAATGATAAAACATTAAAGAAATAAAATTTAAATTATTTTGATTATAATCACATTCAATTGGAATTTTCTTAATGTAGCCTGAAAAGTAATTATGTAGCTTAATATAATCATAAAGATGAGATTGTATAAGACTTTTTTGATAAACTTTTTGATTATTCAGATAAAAAAGGATCTTTGATCAAAATTAAAAGTATTACAAATCAAACTAGGGCATTTTTTTAAAATGTTTTATTTTAAAATAACAATTGTCAATATTGTTGGAATGGCTTACTTTTCTTAGAATTGATTGATTTTTATTAAGTTAGAATATCAGAATTATCATGTATAAAGAATTATATTAAAGATAATGGTTGTATATTGGCAATATCAGAATAACGAGTTAATAGTAAATTATTGATAGATCATTCAAATTTTATATCTAATAATGGAAGAATAGGATCAGGAATTTAAATTAAAAATTTAATAATTAAATTATCAAATTCTAAAATCATAAATAATACTGCATCTTATAAAGGAGGTGGATTATATTTTCAAGAAGATTCCTAGAGATTTACTATTCAATCTACATTAATTATTAATAATTCAGCAGAATAAGCAGGCGGAATATATTTAAGTGAAAATAGCAGTTTAAATAAAAATAATTTAATTTAATCTCTTCTCTTATTTAACAATGCTAAATTGGCTTCAAATAATATTAATGAATTACCTTAACATTTGTCTTTATCAATAAATTAGATGGAAATGTAATTTCAATACAGAATAATTGAAAATAGCTTATTTCAAGTCTTACAATTAAAACCATATAAAATAATATCTTAAGCATAGGTTATATCTACTAATATTTTATTTATCCCAAGTGGTTAGTAAATGTAGAATTTTGAACTTTATAATCCTAAGCTTTTGAAATTTTCATCATATATTACTGAATTCACAATAAAGTTTAAGAATAGTTTGAATGAACAATAAATAAACTTTTTAGACTCTACTTGTAATATAAATTAATAAACTATTGATATTGAAACTTAAAATGTAATTGAATCTATTAGAGTATCAACAATAAGTTTTAATAAATCAATTAATAGTTTTGACTTAGGCTCTTTAACATTTAATATAGATCCATATAAGCAGGAAGATCATGTTAATGAAATTTTAATATACTGTAAAACAGAAAATCAAGAGTAGAATTTAGCCTATAGAATGAGAATTAAAAGCTTTTTATGTCAATTAGGTGAATTTTATATTTTTTCTGGATGTCAAAAATGTTAATCAGAATAAGGATTTTATTCTGTTACTTATAATAGTACAAAATGTTCTATTTTTGATAAAAATAAATTTGAAGCCATTACATCTAATAAAATTTAATTAAAATCTGGATTTTGGAGGCCTAGTTAGATTACTGATAATGTAGAATTATGCTATAAAAATCCAAGTCATTGTTTGGGGGGATGGATTGTTGGTGATGATTTATGTTATAAAGGACATATAGGAGGATTGTGTGAAGAATGTGATAGATTTAATGTAAGAGGAGATGGATAATTCTTTAAAAACTAGTAATAATTGGATTGTTAATAGTGTGAATAGCTTTTAAAGAGAATGATAGCTTTTTTTCTAATATCAATATGGTAAATATGATTAATATTTTGTAAGGGCAATACTTTCTACTTTATTAACCATCAGAAGTATTGAAAAAACTAATTAATTATATGTATAGTTAAAGCTTAGATAAAATTAAAAATTTGCTGAAATTTTGTTCAAACTCAATCAAGGTAATATAAATTATTAATATTAGATCATGAAAGTATTTTACTGAAATTATTTCTTAATTATTTTTGGGTTTTTTCTCTCATTTTTACATTCAATATTAATTTATCAATCTCTTTAGATTTTGTAAAACCATCAAGTGATACTTCATTTTTTATGGCTAATTATTTTGAATGTTTTTTAGCTGAAATATAAGGGATCTAATTAATTTATTCAAGAATTTTAATAATGTTTGCACTTATGCTTTGTTAGATATTAATTATCTTTTTTGGATTTTAACTACTATAAATATTAAAATGCTATAAATTTTAGAATAGAATTATATCGATTACTGTTTTTTACTTGTATATATAAAATTATGCATCCTTAATTAATTAGTAAAATTATTTATATTTATTAGATTTTTTTCAATTTTGGCAATTCGAAAAATATCAGATTAAAATTATATATCAGGTGATGTATCTTTAATTTATGGATCTTAAAATCATATTTCATGGATTTATGGATTTGTAATTCCTGGATCCTTATTAATTGGATTAATTTTACCATTATCATTATTTTTAATTCTGTACCTATATAAAGATTAACATAATAAAATAAAGTTTAGAAGACATATAGGATATTTATTTAATGAATATACTCAAAAGAATTATTTTTGGGAAATTATCAAATTATGGAAGAAAACCCTTATTATAGTTATTCTAATCTATTTTGAAACTGATATTTTTTTGAAAGCTTCATTATTAGCACTTTGTCTGTTGATTTACTAAATTATTGCTCAAAAGTATAAACCATTCATTCTTATGAAATTTAATTTATTAGACATTTAAAGTGCCCAGTTTTGTTTGATTGCAATATTTTTAGCAACTGTAAAACAAATTATGGAATAATAAGAGAAATAGAATATTTCATTTATCATACAATCATTCATCTTATTAGACAGTATAATCTTGGGTTATCCATTTATTATTGATATTCTCAAAGTTTATTATAAAAAATTCAAGTTGCAATTATTATCATTCATTTTCAAACTATTGTAAACTTTGTTCCCTAATTATTCTATAACCAAATATATAAGAAAGAAATTAAGTTTGATGAGATAAAAAGAAGAGAGTGCTAAAATTAATATATAAAAGTTGAAATAAATACTGTACCTAAACAATACGCAAAGTCCTTCGTATTATTATATATTATTATTTTAGATCGAAAAAAAGTATTATATTTACAAATATGTTGAAAGGAAAATAATAATCACTATTATCTATTGAATCTAATTAAGAAAAAAATTGAAAATTTAATATTAAAAAAGAATTGCATCTATATGAATATGATTATAAAAATAAAGTATATAAATATAAATACTCTGTAAATTGACATAATTAAAAACAATTTTTCAAAATCATTTAGTTATTTTTAGAGGTTTTCTCTATAAAATTACAAGAGAACGATATAAATTTAAATTATTTAATTGCATAATCACTGTGACTTTGCAATTAATTATAGTCTGATACTTTATATTATATTTCATTCGGCTAAAAATCCTTTTCAAGATTTAGTATTTTTTTTCTCTGTTTTTTAAGATATCCTCCATTCCTTCTTAAAATATTTCTTTTGATAAAAATCAATTTTCTTTTTTGGGTTTTTTGAGCTAATATCTCTGTAATCGTTGATAATTTAATTCTACCCCCCTAGAAAATTATTTGAAGCATAATTTTGACATTTAGGAATTAGGCTGAATTAAATAATTCTCTAAATGCTCCATATGTTGCTTTCAATACTGCTGTAGAATTTTAGTCTATAAATAAAGATCTTTGACTAAATTTTTTTAAGTATTTTAAGACATTTGGAGATTATTTCTATTATATTAATAAATTTTAAATATCTAAATTAAAATAAAGTATTGTTTAGTGGTGTAAAATTAATCGGTTGATAAAAATAATATTGCTTAAATTAATTGAATATATGCTAAGAGTTTTTTGGTTAAATAGGTTTCAATTTAATCACTTGTCAAAAATAAATTCCAATATCCATATGTAGAACATAATTAAATGGACCAAAAAGATACTAATGGAATTAAATGAAAAACTTAAATTAAATAATAATAAAAATTATCTTATAAAATTAATATTATGAAATAATGTAATGATTGCAAGTAAACAAAGGTAAAATATATTTATTTTAAATTTCATTCTCAATTTTTTTTTCTTAAATAAAACCTGTTAATATTACATTATAATAACCCCTTTTTATTTTTATGATCCAAAAAATAATATTTTGTATTTAGTTATTTATAACAGTTGATTTATTTTTGCAAAAATGAAGGATATATATAAACCTTAAATCACAGGTCATATACTCATAAAAAGAAAAAAATTCAAATCTCTTCTTCTTTGAATAGATAATTTACTATTTTATTAAATTATGATTCACTAAAAGGAGTACAAGATTAATATTTATGTTATTATGAACTTAAAAAAACGGTAGAATTAAATCTATTTTATATATAATATAATATAATATAATATAATATAATATAATATAATATAATATAATATAATATAATATAATATAATATAATAATTTTTCACATCATAATTTTCCGTATAACCTTTCTATTTCATCATGATTTAATCCTTTAGTTTCTTTAACAAAAAAATAAAAGAATATCGAAGATAGGAATGTTAAAATTGCAAAAACTATAAAAGCTCCACTTATTTTAATTGCATCTAACATAAATGGAAATATGTATAGCATTATTAGCTACCATAGATACAAAGTTACAAAACAAAAATATGTTCCTTCACTTGTGTTAATCTCTGGAGTCATAGACTAATGTTAATATTTATACTTACAAAAGTAATAGGTCCTAAAGTTAGAGCAAATACGAATGAAAAAAAACAAATAATAATAAAGCTAACAATAGATGCTTCTAAGGTTTCAGAATAACTTAAACCAACAATAAGTATCTAACATATAATTAGTAAAAAGAGCCCATATAGTAATAAAGATCTGTTACCCATTTTCCTATACACAAATTTTGAAATGAATGCAGGAATTAATTAAACTATTCCTATAATAAGTATAAAGAGAGTGTTCAAAGTGAAATCTCCATCTGAAATAATTTCAAAGATTTATGAACAATAAGAGTATAATGCAAATAAACCGCACCAAGTGGAAATAAATGCTAAAAGACAACCAATCATTACTGTTTTTAAATGCTTTTTAGTAAAAATATTCATAATCCCTTCTATTTGTTCATCATTATTTTACACTCTTTATTAGCATTTAAAGAACATTTGATCTACAAATTATGGTTTATATATCTTCATTAAGATCTTTTTTGCGGATTGTGGCTTGTTCATTTGAATTAAACTATCAGGACTATCAATCTAATAAATGACAGTAATAATAAATGATCTAAGAAAGTGCAATAAAGCAGGAATAGCAAAAATAATTTACCAATAATACGAATTCTCCCCTCTTAAATCAAAATTTAAATATCCTAAACCCATAAAATTAACAAAAAATAATCCCCCTGCAATTAAGAAACTTGCTAAAACTGAAAATTTTTCATAATATTTTTCAGGACATATTTCTTTAACATACACAGCCATTATAGTAGTTGATATTCCTAGACACAATCCATAGCAAAATCTAAATGCAAGTATAATTTCTCGGTTAGGTATAACTTGTAAAATGCTCAAAACTCCAAACATGTCACCAATTAAGAGTGATTAATTTCTAGTCATATATTTTAATAGCGGTTTTGTAGCAAGAGCTCCTATTAATTAGCCTATTGATAAAACAGCGCTAAACAACCCTTATTCTTCAATCTCAGATCCTTTAAGAGTGCTTATAATAATATTATTTTAAATACATTTATGAAAATAAAGTTGTGAAAGACATTGACAAATATGATAATGAATAACCTATAGAAAAGTTTCCACTTTAAATCGCTACTAGTATTATCGTCAAGTGGACAAAGGAATTGAGATCCTCCTCAACTTCTATTTAAGATTTAGCAGTAAATCTTTAGTTTATTAATGATGGAGGATTAGTAAGAGGACCAGGATCAGATGGTTGCTATCTTAAATTTTATATCTTAGAAATTATTAATGAGCCATTATCTGTTTTGATATTTTCATTCTCTTAATTATATAATGGAAAAACTTAGCTTGTCATTTGTATATGATTGATTTGATATTTTTTAATTTTTTATCAAATATAATAAATTATTAAAATAGAAAATTTTCCTTTTTAATAGAATTGAAATTATTTCATTGTTTCAATGGAATTTAATATTCTAAAAGCAATAAGAAAGTTGAATAAATTGAGAATTTTCCTATTTTAATAAAATTCTTATAAATGAACAATTATTTAGATAATAGGAACAACTTTTCAAATACTTTAATATACCTAATTGTTTACATTTTATTAAAATTATGTTATATAATGTAACAATTTGATATATTAGGGATTAGTTGAAATTTTCTTGAAAAATTAATGTTTATTGTATGAAAAATTAAATGAAGACATTTTAATTTTGCAGTTCTAATAAAATCTACAGGGCTGCTTAAAATAATAATTATTTTATACAGCACTTTAGTCTTAGTTGAATATATATTAATTAATCTTTAAAACTTAATACAATGTCATAATTTAAATTTTCAAAATTTCTATTTCAAATCAAAATGATCAAAATCAATCTGTTTCGTTTTGGAAAGCTTTCTTTAATAATACTTCTAAATCCTATTATTTAACAGGTTTTTGAAGAAAAGTATTAATACCTAATTTTTAACTTTCTAGATAATTATCTTAAGAGTCATATGCTGAACAAATCACTATCATCGGCTATTTTGGCATCAATTCAAGAATCTAGGAATATTAAATGATTTACTTATTTGCTTGTTTAAAATCCATCTATTCCTGGCATCTCAATATCCATAAAAATTAATTTATAGATTGAACAATGTAGCTACTTTTTTTGTTTTACCATTTCTATTGCTTAAAATCCATCAAATGCTTAATCAGCATCAATTTAATATTTCTAAAGAATCATTTTTAAAGCAATTTAATTAAATGGAACATCATCAACAATCAATACATGTTTACATTTTTAGCAGATAGAATATTATCTATTAGAAAAAATAGAATCTTCTAATTTTTACAAACTTTTATTTGAATCTAAAAGTTTTTCAGAAAAGTATTGACTAGCTGGTACCAATATATCAGGTTATTTATCATAATCATTTATTCTTGAAGTATTGTTATAGGATTCAGATTTAGATTATTAATCTTAATATTCTCTATCAAGTTCAACTCTAGAAGTATATGACTTAATGATTTTACTATCCTCAAATTATGCTTCTTAATACTAGCTCTAACTTATTGATTAATTTGATTTTGAGCTTTATAAAGTAAAGAAATGGGATTGGGATAAAGTATTTTATATGTAATTTTACACTTTAAATTGCACTACAGTTCCTTAATTCTTTCTTGAACTTATTATTATTTAATTATCTTATGATTCAACTAAGCCTTAAACTAATTTGGCTGCAATATTTAAACCTAATCCTTATTATTATTTTTCTTATTATGATTTTAATACAGAGCCAAATTTAACTGTATCTTTTATGCAGTTCTAGATTATACATAATTTTGAATGATCTATCCCAATCCCATTATCTTTTACTTTGAAATTTAAGAAAAAAATATCGCTATTTGTAATTTTTAGTGTAATACAACCTCTTTCTTAAGTGAATTTAATTGCATTATTTAAAACATTTACTAGTAATTATATAATCCTTTGCTTATCGTTTTAAACTATTTTACCAATTAAATTTTGAGCAACTTTTATATTGAATTCTATTTTTTTTTATTTCATCTATAAATTATATAAATGTTCTATTTCTTCAATTATTTCTTTGAGTACAAAATTATTGATATGATAAGAAAATTATTAAGATTAAATTGCAGCATAATCCAAAATATCATTTATTTAATGAATTAACAAAGCTAAAGAACATTGAGCTATATCAATGCATTCTTATAAGTTTGATGTTAAATCTTAACTCTTCATTAGATTTAACATTTACTAACAACTATTTAATGGAGTTCTTAATTCATGAGAAAAGGATTTTATAAGACTATGATGAATTATTTACTCATCTCTAATTTATTAACATTTGTATTTATTTGTTACATTTTTTATCATAATGAGTAAAACAGAATTATCTTAATCATCACTAAATGTAAAGTTACTTTTACTTAAAGATTTAACTTAAGAGGCAGCAGAAATGTAATCTTATTATATATTGTTATTTGAGGTAGGAATGATTATTAATTTCAATTTCTTTTATGAACAATTATGCATCATTTCAGAGTTCATTAACCACTCATAAATAAAAATTTGTTAGTGAAATGTTTCGATAATTTGTTATTAGTCAATTTAATCTATAATTGGTGTATATTTTGATGGTTGCATAATTATATCTAAAATATCTATTGGAAAATCTCTCTCATTTAGCTTTCTTACTATTAGTTATAAAGTTCTATAATGAAGTTACTTTTTTTATTATATATTTGATTATTCTATTTCATAATCTTGCATCCTTGCACTATTTACACACATTTTTATTTTCTCTAATACCTATTATGTCCCTTTGCATTCTAATATTTTTTCACATTTATTATTTAATTAACTCACTTATTATTATTAATTTACTATTAATATACCATAAGGAAATAAATTGATCAAATTGTTATACAATTAAAATGCTGAATGATCTGAGCTACCTAAGCTTTTATAAAAAATTTATGACTTTGAGAAACTAGTAATAATTGAATATTATTTTAATTTTTCCTCATTTGGAAGATCTTTTAATATTGTAGTAAAACATTATTTCGGAGTTTAAACAACTGAATTACTTTTCTAATATTTTATTTAAGATTGCATTAAATAATTTTCAGAAATTGGTGAGTTTAGATTATCCAATTTTCTTGTGACTTATTTTTCATTTGTTTTATTGTTAGTATTTAAATTAAATTAACAATAGTGTGTAATTATTTAATGAATCACAATAAGAATAATTAAAATTAAGCTTTCTATTGCTTTATAACTTGATTAACTTATATTGTACAAGATTATTTTTATTGAAAGATAAAAAGGTAATCCTATTTTACAAATAAAACTATTTCTTTGAACATCAATCTTCAAATAATCAAAATATGATATAGTAAATATTAAACTATTAGAGTAAATGAGTAATTAATTGTCATTATCCTATAAAAACAATAATTCAAAATATAAAACATAATATGTTAAAGACAAAATAGGTAGTACTGAATTTATACTATGTTTATTTTCCATTAAAATATACTAAAAAACCCTTGTTATCAAGTTAGCTAATAGTAAAGGTAGAAGTATATAATTTAATGATTCTCCACTAGATATCTCTAAATACATCCACCAAGAACTTTAAGTAATATTTGCCAATAAAATTAATATTCTTGAACATTTTTCCAAGAAATTCTAAATATCAAATTTCATGAAATAATTAACTTTAAAGAAAATGGATTTTGAATAAGTTATAAATTTAAATTTTTCATTATTTACATATATAAATAGAGTTATTTTCAACAATCTTATTTAAATCCAATTCATCTCCTACAACTTTTAACATTTTTTTTAAGCCTCATCAATGAATGTTAAAATATGAGAATTTAAATAAAACATAAGCTATGTAATTATAATTAAAAAAAATTATTTGGCTTTTATAACGAAAGTAATCAAAAGAACAAATTTTCGAGGTCATATATACAATAGATAAGCCTTAGGTTCCCAAATCTTTGATCAGTATAACTATAATAATCAATCCATTTTATTAATTAAAAAAAACCAAGAAAAACCATTTCATCACTCCTATTTTTTTATTTGACATTTTATTTCATCTCAATTATGCAAATTATTGAACAAGTTTTTATTCCTGCTATATTGCTGACCTTTAAATATTATAATTATTATATTGGTTACAATAAATTTAGAATTTGGTTATCTATTATGAGCTTTTGTAATGATATCTGGCTATATTTGGGAAATCTGAAAATCTAGATCATTTTCATAACATAATGGGAAGCATAATTTGGGCAAGCATCCTAAACTAATAAATCGAAAATATTTAAATATTTAATACATGAAGTTTTATCTTCTAGCTAAAAACAATATTAAAAGAATCATATTTGCATTTTTCTTCTATGCATTATCTCAATCATTACAATAATTGTATTATTTTTGAGATAATGAACTTCAAGCTTTCAAAATAAAATCTGTGCAATGAGGTTTTGGCAGCTGGCTTTAAAATATTTCTTCCATACAATTATTAAATGGACTAAATTACTTCAAAATTTAATGCCTTTGGGATCTGAAAAAGACTTTTAAGATTAATTTTGGTTGATTTAGGTGAATAATTTGATTTGTAAGTAGATACTGTTTTGTAGAATTTGCCACAAAAATAAAATCATCCAAAATAAACTAATTTGCAACCTTTAGGTCAGTTTAGCCTTCTAAATATTTTTATACTAAATAGTTAGAGAATGTTTTGATTATATAAGATAAATTAAAACTTTATAAAAATTTTCTTTAAAATATCTCAAGTAAAACAAAGAATCAAAAAAAAAACATTAATATTTAGAGAATAATCAAATAAATTAAGGCAGAAATGTAAGATAATATCAATTATTTCGTCGCTTTAGATCTCTTAACAAAAAAGTTAATTTATTTATTACTCAATTTATTGTTTAAAATAGTAATAATTTTATAATCATCATTAATGTAAAAAAATAAATTACTATATCTATATTTTATTTACACTTTAGTCCAAATTAAGAAAATAAACAAATATAGTTTTTTTATAAATTAGTTGGTATTATTTCAGCTCATATAATGAATAAACCTTGTTATCAAATGATTAAAATAACTATTAATTTTAATAATTTATATTCTTATGAATAAAATGTTATCTAATGGTTAAATTAACTATCAATTCTGATAATTTATATTATTATAAATTAATTGTTATGAAATGATTAAAATAACTATTAATTTTAATAATTTATATATTTA